TAAATGCCAAGAAACAATTGAACTGGGATGCTGTGCAGCAAAGGTGGGTGAAACAAAAAGGTCCTTGATGCCAGCATACAAAAACAGAAGGACATACCTCAGTTTGACAGGGCAGGCTTGGATTCAAATCCATGCCCAGTTTTGAGCATGTCCCAACCTAAAGAACCTCACAGGGACAAGCCATGTATTCTGCCCCAAGCTCCTTCGGAGGGAGAGGGGGGGGATCCCATATGGTGTACTTGTTAGGATTTGGGGGACGCAGTTTCAAAACCCCATTGTGTCATCAAGCTCTCTGGTGACCTTAGACCAGTCACACCCACTCAGTCTCACCCTACCCCACAGCTTACTGAGAGGATAAAATGGAGGCGAGGGGGCGATGTTATGTACTGCTTTAGATCCCCACTGGAGAGAAAAGTGGGTTATACGTATCTAAATAAATAAAGGCAGTGTACAAATATGATTGAAATGTAAATAGGCCTTCTTTAGGAAGGGATCAGCAAGCAGACAACATATAACAGCTGTTGTCCCAGCTATACAGTTACAATGTTGGACACCATATGAGGCTGTTAACAGCAATGCAAAATGCCACCCAGACTCCAGGTTTTTAAAAGTTTTTGCAACATCTGTGCATGTGCAGGCATTAATCTTAATTTCAGTGAGTTTTTTTAAATTCTTCCCAATTTTTTATTTAAAGAACAATATTTTCCTGCAAAACGGGGTTTGCAGAATCCAAAATTGTTGCCATGTTGCCGTGACTGGTTCCATTGTGTGGTTTTTTAAAAATCTGCACAAAGAGCCTGCTGCTAGAAACGACGATTCAAGAAAAATAAGGGTGTGCTGTCGAGTCGCAGGCATCTTATGGTGACCCCATCAACAGGGTGTTTCAGGAAAGAGAGGAGCAGAATTGGTTTTCCATTGCCTTCCTCTGCATAGCAACTCCCACCCAAGTAAGTACTGTGGCCAACCTTGTGTAGCTCCTAATCTCTGACAAGCTCGGGCTAAACTGGGCTATTTGGGCTGCTAGATACAAAGGCTACCCAACCAGAAATATGGAAAGTGCCCAGAAAGGGCAGGTACCCTTTCCACCCTAGTGCTAATAATGGGAAATTGGCTGTGCATACCACACAGGGTGCATTGATCCTTCTTGGCCATGAAGGTCAGCAAAGGCTGGCTGAAGGAATTCTTACAGTTAGATCAATCTCAGAAGCCCAGATGGTCAAAATATCTGCAAGGCTTAAAGACTTGTGGCATCCATACTTTCCTTGTGCCTTTGCAGGGTTTACTTTGATGCTTGTGATGGTTTCTTTACTAACTACAACTGGAAGGACGAGCAACTGCTGCAGACGAGAGAGATGGCAGGCGAGCGTCAGTGTGACATCTACGTGGGGGTGGATGTGTTCGGCCGTGGTGATGTTGTGAGTGGCGGCTTTGATTCCAACAAGGTGAGAGGGCATCGTGACCACTGGGGACATTTCCTCTACAGAATAGAGTATGGTCGTACCAGGCCACAGGGCTAAACAGGGTTCAGTATTGTGGCCAAGAGCCACAGGGTTTTGCAGCCCAGGGTACAGTGTAACTATTAACTGAGTGCTTTACTTTACCTTGGGGTAGGCTAGGCAGAGCTTTTAGACATTCAGCCCTGGTGTCTTTAGCATTTCTGTACAGAGGGAGTTGTCATCCCTGTAATGCAGTCAATGTCTTTCTCGAACCCCACAGTCGCCAGAGCTCTGGGATAACATCTGAAAGGTAATGGTCAGTTTGTTTTCCTTGTGTCCCTACAGTCTCTGCGCCTGATTCGTCATCATGGCCTTTCTGTGGCCATCTTTGCACCTGGCTGGGTGTATGAGCACTTGGGCCCGACGGACTTCCTGCACAACGAGAACAAGTGAGAACCATGGGAAGCAGGTGGGGGGTGGTCCCCAGCACGTCTCCTGGGGAATAGAGATGAGCAGTGGGGTAGGCTCTGTGCAATGAGTAGGCTTTGCCTGACTGGCTGCCCCTAATCACCTGGGCCTGGCCAGGCCCCGGAGCCCGGTATGAAGAGGCTTGCAGACATTCTGGGGTGCCAAGACGACCCTTCCTCTGCCAAGCTTCCTGGCAGGATGCAGCCTTTGGTGGTGCAGGAGAAAGACTGCTTGGTAATGACCTCTTTTCTGTTTGCAGATTCTGGGGCCTGCTATCTGAATGGCTGCCCACTCATGGTGTTGGCTCCCTTCCCTTTGGCACTAGCTTCAGTCTAGGCATGGGTAAGAAGCACTTCAACAAGGGTCAGGTAAGCATATTGGGCAAGAGGGAGCCCTGCAGAGGGAAGGAAACTGTATGTTGTGCCTTGAGTCGTTAGGAGTCAGTTGTTGGCTTTGGCTGGTGGCCAGTGTGGTATTGGACTAGTTTCTGGGAAGCTCAGGTTTCAATCCTCACTCTGGTATGAGAACTTGTTGGGGAACCTTGGGCCGGAAACACACTTCCAGCCTAAACTACATCATAGGATGGATGTGAGGATGAAATGGAGGAAGGGAAAATGTTGAAAGCCGTTTTGGGTTCTCACTGGGGACAGGAGTATAAATGAAGTTACTAAATAGCTGCCCAGTCAGTTGCTCTGCCGGGAATACCAGTGAGTTGGTGGGTTTCAAGTTG